CTAACTTGTTTGACCAATGGGATATTAGCAAATGTTATGCTAATCATAGAAGTCTACATGTTGGTGCTAATCCTCTCCTGCTGAAGGAAACCAATCCACCGCCATCTGAACAAGTCCTGGCGAGGCTAATGGATGACTAGCAAGAGGGGAAGAGGGTTCAGTCATAATGCCCAGACCCTCATCATGTGAGTGAGCCATCCTAGGTCACCTGGGCCAAGCCAAGTCAGCCCAGACAAGACGACTGCACAGAACTGTAACAAATAATGAAAATCTAATATGTTAAACCAACACGCATTTGGGTCATTTGTTAAGCAGGAAAAGTGAAGTGATGCAGCAGATCATAGAATACATTCCACAAACTTCTCCCTAGTAAAATGCCAGGTGTTTTTGGAAGTTTTACTGATAAGGAAATTGCTAATTTTTCTCACGTTGGCTGACACGGAAGTGGGAGCTGATTGTGAATGAAGAGGTGGAAGAAGAGCAGACAGGGAGAGTAGTCTGGAAGTTCTCAAGCCAAGGAACCCTCAGCAAGTGGGCACTGACTCCTGTTAGCAGTGGGAGGGGGAGCAGCAGTCCCAGGTCTACAGGCCAACAAAACCACCTGGTTGACTACTTTGGGCATGAGTTCTTTGGGCCATCAGATTCTGAGTTTTTCAAATTGTGAGATGGGACATATTCACCATGTATAATGGCAAAGGTCTGGAAACTATGATGCAAGGGCCAAACTTTTACATGTTATCTATGGCTCCTTTTCTGCTATAGGGCACAGTTGAATAGTTTCAACAGAGACCATATGGTCCTCAAAACCCAACATATTTACTGTCTAGTTCTTCATAGAAACAATTAGCCAACCTCAGTATTAAAGGAGACTTCATGGAATGGCTGGGTCTTAGTGGAAAGGTACAGTGTTTACTCTGATATGAAGGAATGAGGAATTGCTGAACAAACATTATAAGAAAGAATATTAGAATTATAATTATTGTTACATCATTGTGGGCAAAAGTTATTGTAGAAAGTTAATGATAAACCAAACAACTAAGATATATATGACTTACTATGTGCCAGGTACTTTTCTACATACTTTATTTTATCCTCACAATAATATCATGGTAATAAGTAGAGGTAGGTAGTATTATTATCTCCCTTTTCCACATGAGAACAGAGAGAGAGAGAATTATAGATGTCTGTCCAAGCTCACAAAGCTGTCAAAGAGCTTAGCCAGGATTAAAATTCTTGTATTCTCACTCTAGACTCCATACTTTTTGAGAGTCACAAAAATGGAAATATGAAATGCAACAGTCAAAATTGTGCATAAATTCTAGCTATGAGGAATGAGACTGTTTCTTAAAGATGCATGAAATCAGTGTTACTACTGTATATTGGTAAACTTTCTTGGTTAACCACACTACAGTATTTGTGTATTCTTTGTTGCCTGCAAAAAGAAAAAGATTGCTATTACTCAGCTGGAAATCCCCTAATGGGGCACCCCTATGATGTAGCTAGTGGTTCTGTTGCCATAGTGATGTTGTGTCAACACAGTAGCAACTGGCCATTCCCAGAGGTGGACCACAACCCATTCCTGAAATTCTCAGGCTGAGACTGCCACCTGGTTCCTAAGAATACAAAAGATTCTTTTCTCCTAACAACAGCCAATAAGGTCACCTGATCATGACAGGAAGAAGTCCCTGGAGGCATTACTTCTTAAAAATACAAACTGGATTCATTTTGGAAGTCCTACTTTAGAGCAGAGGCTCCCATATTAGTGACCTTTGATCTGCAGACAAAGGATGAGTCAGTACATATTGGTCAACTAGTACCCACAGGGTATCTGCTGGCAATCCAAAATGTACCTTGAACAGGACCTGTCATCAACAGCCCAGTTAAATATAAGAAGACTTTCAGAAGAGAAGTTACTTCTTGATTCACTACCTTATTATCACAAGAGAAACATACCTAATAGATAGTCTCCAGTAAGATTAACTTCTTACAAACTCACAGAGCTTAAATTGATAAACCTCTTCTAGAGGGTATTTGGGCAATTTGTATCAATGGCCTTAAAAATGTACAAAGTCACTGACCTAGATATTATACTACTAATTTATTCTAAGGAAATTACAGAGATATTCCCAAGACTATACATTAATTTATAATAAAAAAATGACTGTAAACACACTAGTTGTACAATAGGGTATTCATTAAACTATGATATAACCAAACCTACTTCATTAATGTTATAACCATAAAAATTATGCAGTGGCCTAAATTTTGATTATTGAAAGATCACTAAATTTAAAAGCAGGTTAAAACAAGTATATAACAAATTCTATTTTTTATAAGAACAAAAACAATAACACATACAAGCTTAGAGGAAAATAGACTGAACAAGGGTATTTCTCCAATGACTGAATTATGGCTGCTTCAATTTTCTATTTTTTTATACAACAAATTATGCATTATATTGGTAGCTTTTAAAATGATAACAAAAGTTGTATTAATTTTTTTTCGGGTATATTTCATTCTTTTGACTGATACATTATAGTCTTACCTACTCATGGTTTTCAATTCCATGAATTTCGTAACTATATTTTCTCAGTAAGCAAAATGCAGGCCAGTCTTTCTCCAAAACCAGGAGGAAAGACAGTCTACATTTTCAGAGGCCCACTGGCAATACAAAAATTCTCAGATTTGACAACTGCCTGACAAGCTCCTCTGACCTTCCTGGACTAACAGCTCTGTTAAAAAGACATCTCATAACATGAATCTTGACCATTTAACTGAGTTGACCAAAGCTGCTTGTGCTGGTATGGGTTCTGTTTTTGTTCGAGTTTTTCCTAAAAAGAATCCTGAGTCCCAAATTAGAATAAGAGGCCAGGGAATTAGCTGACTAAGAACTGATTAAAACAGTTTGTACTGTACAGATTGTGAAACAGTTTAATATGTAGGGTCTGGAATCTGCCACGAGAAGAGACATGTTTGATAATATCTGTTCCTTAGACGTAATGGGAGCAGGTAAGCTGAGTTACAACATACCTCATTAAGATTTCCGAACATAAGATGACTGAAAAGTTTTCTGAAATAAAGGAGTGTTTTTTAATTTAACTTTCAAATGAGCATCAGAAAATGATTTATTTATATATTGGAAAACAAATGGAAAAACTGAACTGGCATTCTGCTAAAACCATCTTAAATATCAGAATAAATTTCAGTTTGTTCAGCTATGGGTTACTAATAATAAAGCAACAGTTAGATGGACAAATGTTTTGCTTTTTATTTGGCTGCCAATTGGTCACTGCTACCATTCTTGGCCACCATATCTGTAGCTACTCTAAGAAAGAGCATCCTTTGAAAATAACCAATAAAATCCCAGAGTCAGAAAGATAGCCTTGAATTAATTTTCCCAAACTGGTCTTAAATTAAACTTGTTTATGCAAATTATTTAAAAGGAGACACTCACAGAACTTCTCTGAGGGGCTAAGTGACATTTATTCGTCAATAAATGTCATCCATCTTTAAGCATCTATTGCAAACCAGACCGTGTGTGAGGTGTTGGCCAGCAGAGCTAGGCTCCACTTTATTTTCACAGGAAATTAGACCTGGAGTGTGTGAGAGTGAATGCAAAAATGATCTCAGATTTCAAGAGGTTGGAACATAAACTCAACTTCTTACTGAGAGGAGCTACAAAATCCCATTACAAGGGGCAGGGATATATGACTGGCCACATGATTTGCTTTGGCCAACATGGCAGAAGGGACAATGTGTCACTTGTGAGCTACACCTCCAGAGACCTTGAGCACCCCTGTTCTCTCTTCCAGAAAACTGCCTCTGTGAATGAGCTAAGGTCAGCCTGGTGGGAATGAGAGGCCCCCAGAAAAAGGACAGAGGCTCCCCATCAACAGGGAGCATGCCCAGAAGCAAAGACTAGCTAACCAGAGATGCACATGGAGCATAGCTAAGACCAGAGGCACCCTCAGAGGAGCCTGGCCCAAGGAGTTAACCCATAGAATTGGAGTTTAATTAAAAGATTATTGTTTTAAGCCACTCAAATGAAAGACAATTTGTTACAAAGACTGGCTAACTGATCATACGATAACAACAAATGCTAAATCTGATAAGCCAAATATAAAATGCCATGGCATACCTGTAATATTATTCCAACATGTTTTACAATTACCAAGCAAACAAAAAATTTAGATATACGAATAGCAGAGCTGAAACATCACCCCCAAAAGAACTTAAAGGACCTGTAATATTGAGGGTAGGGTTGACTCAAGAAAGTCATAGCTCCTTTGAGAAATTTTCCATGGATGAGTAGTATTTGTCTGTGAAGTCATTCTTTGTTTCTTTCCTCTCTTTAAAAAAATAAGAAGCTCTTTTACTCAATTAAGCCTACTGGACTCGATAACAATTGTCTAACTTGATTCAAAGCAGCCATATCCTCTCTGACACATGTTCAACCTCCACTACTTTGTAGGCTGGAATTTTAAATCCAGCTCCCCTGAATTTATGACACACACACACAGTAGCAAGTCCCTACAGGCTGGAAATCAAACTGTAATTCAAAGGCCACAGGGCTGAGGAAACAGCTAGAAGATAAATCCCAATTTCAACCTTGGATTCTCTGCAAGTTGATTCAGTGGATTGTCAGTCATACTTAAAAATAAAATAAAACTACAAAGACATCAGACAGCATGTTCTAAAGAGAAACAGAATGATGCTTTTCAGGACTTCTTCAAAGGGCTCTTGTTGCCTGAAAGAAACTGTTATATGGAGTATTTTAAAGGCCCTAGATCATTTGACCCCAATCAGTCACTTGGGGGAGTTTCTGAATTTAAAACTAATGAGATATAAGGAAGAAGTGAAGACCACTGAATACAACCTGGGTGACCATACTGACCGGGGGTGACATGAAGCAACTCATTTCTGGAGTTGGGCAGGTCACCCCCGGAGGACACATGAATGAAGCACGTGAACAAACCGGCCACAGGGGTGTGGGTACTCACCTTGCAGCCCTCACAGGCGCTGACCCCATAGTGGTACCCCGATGATTTGTCCTGGCAGACGAAGCAGGGTTTGTACACTCGAGGGGGAGGCAGTGGAGATGGAGGACTGGGGACCAGTTCCTCAGAGCTGGTGCTCTGGGTTTCAATGGCTATAATGGAGAAGGAGCAGGAGAAAAAAGAGAAAAAACATTTCAATTCATTTGCTTTCCACCAGTGCATTCTGCCCCCATTCGGCAGTAACAGTTGTTGGGACAGGCCACAGAAAAGCGTCATTGGAGGCACAACAGCAGGGACATGACATTGGTGTGGTGCTCTACACTGGGCACAGTGGGGGGGATGGTTTTGATCACCATTTTGACTTCAAAAGAAACAAAGCCTGAGGAGCACAGGAGCTTGTCAGGATCAACAGGGTCAGAGTCTGATCTCCACACTGCAAGCCCAGACTTCTCCTCATTCCTACCCCAGCCCCCTCCAACGCCCCACTTCTAAAATACGTAGCGTCCCTGAAGTGACTTTTTTGATCTGTTGCTCACTTAACCAAAAGTATATGTCCTTAAGACAAATGAAGAAAATGACCAAAGCAGCTACTCTATTTGTCTACGCTGAGACCTCTAGCTTGTGGCCAGACTGCTCTCCACTAATAACTGTATCGGTATGACTTTTGCTCTTCAAAGGCTGCACTTGAGACTGTACTAGAAAATACAATACAGGCACCAATTCAGACCCACATTTTCACCAAATTCCCAGATGAACAAATGTACAATTAATGTTTGAGAAGTACTGGGTTACACTAATGGTACAGAATGACACAGAATCACATTGTTCTCTACTCTGGATTTAAAATATACAATTCCCCATCTCATTTCTAACCACTCAAATTCCATGGGGAAGGGGAATTCATAGAATTTAAGACCTAAGTATTGTCCCACTCCTAACTTCCCAGATTTATGTTCAAAGTCAAAGCAGGAACAGGTCCTATTCCCTTCACAGGCAAAGTCACAAAGTGTAATATAAATAGAGAAGGTAATTGGAAGTCATCAAATAATGTTCCAGAAGCTTAGAATCTTCAATTTACAATTTATAGTATATTTCCTTGAAAGTAATATTTCCAGTTGTTCCATTTCCTACAACTTCCAGACTAGAAACCCTAATGACTGGATTGTCCTATAGCCACTCTTTCCATAAATTAGGTCAACTCTCCCTCCTAACCACATGAATCCACCTCTATCTCCCAATTCTGCTGCCACACCAGGCTAGTAATTTGCCTTGACAACTGCAATAGCTCTTTACTGGTCTTCCTGTTCCCTACCCGCATCCCACGGTCTATTCTTTAAACACACAGTCAAGATAACTGTTCAAAAAGTTAAAACCAGTCCACCTCGCCCTTCTTAAGCCTTCCATAGTCACCAATGATATCAAAGTCAGACTTCTTACTGTGTATATAAAGCTCTTCATAGTGTGTCCCTTAGTTACACCATTGATGACTGATTTTTTTTCAATGATTATCATTTATTGAGTTCTAAACCCTATCTTCTATTCCATCTCTTTAGTAGGTCAACAACTTAAGTTTACAGCACTAACATTTGCCCAACCTGAAAATTCTGACTTTAATATCTCTGGTTCCTTTTCACCCTCTTATATTTCAGAGTAAATATGACCTCCTCAGAAATGAGTTCTTTAAAGAAAATGCCTCTTCCCACTCCTGGTCACCATATCCCATTACTTTCTTTTATTTTCTATGTGTCTATAAAAACTGTGTATAATTTTATATTCTGACTCTGCCAGTCCCCAAGGATGGGTTTCATGAGGCCAAGGAACTTTCCTGCATTATTTACAACTGTGTTCCAGGCCTAGAAAAGGTTCTGGCACATAGTTGGTAAGTAATCAATACAGCTTTGTTGAATTAACACATGAACTTCTTCCTTTTCCTTTTTTCCCTTATATTAAACACTAAGTGCCCTTCTAAGTTGCTAAATTGATAAAATTATAAACCAAATAACTTTCTTATACTCATTTGCCTCCTTAAAAAAGTAATTATCCCTTTGGAATAGAACCAACTATAATTATAATAATTTTGTAATACAGAAAAATCTTGGAACAAACTCATCAGAGTAGTGCAGGTCTAGTAGATAAATCTATTAGTCTTTACTGGTTAGAACTGAGGTATCTGGGACAAAGACAGCCCTTACTCTAGAGAGCTTGGCACCATTGTGGAAAGGCTGGCATTTGAGATGTCACTAGAGCTTATCAGATCAGGATCAAGCTGTAAATGCAAAAGCATGCCTCAAACTAAGCTAATCAGCTGCTCTGAGAGCACATGAGTAATCATGACATCAAGAAAACAATAGCTGTTTAAAGTACAAAATAGTATATTGCTCTTAGTTAGAGACCTAAGAAAATAAACACACACAGCATCAGTCACGATCTTTTCACTCAGAGAAAACCATTGCTGTCATCCTGGCATGCATCCTTCCACTTTTCTATGCAGGAAAAAAGGTTTTAGTTTGTTTGCTTATTTACTAGAGTGGAATTATACTGTAGAGTTTGCTTGGGACTTTGTTTGTTTAACTTATTATGTCATAAGTTTATTTCCCTGTCATAAATACTTTTCTTGTAAAACATTCCATTATGATGAGCATCTTTGTAGCTAATCTGGCTTTTTCCTTAGAATAAATTCTCAGAAGTGGAATCACTATTTCAAAAGCTATGGTTATTTAAAAAAAAAAAGTATTACTTTTAAATTCATGGTGAAAAGTTGACTTGCAGAAAGGCTACAGCAATTTACACTCCCAATATCAACATAAGCTAGCTAAGCCCTCTCCTAGAAGCCTCCCCCATTTTTTGGATACGTTTTATTTGTGTGCCTCAACTTCCACCCCACTGTTTCAACAACTCTGACAGAGTCCTGTCGTCACCACTATAATCAATCCTGTGCTGTGCTCTCCACAGCAGCAACGTGTGGAGTGTGTGTTTTAATGTTCCACTTGCTCTTGTGGAACAGCTAATCTGGCTTGTCTAGGAAACTGTAAATAGAATTCTTTTTGGGCTGGATTCAGCTGTCAGAACTATGCCCTGAATTTCAAAAGTGGGTGGTGATTTCCATAAATATGCCATTTCAAATACAAGCACTGAAGGGTGGCCAGCATTTCCCTCTTGCAAAGAGAGGAAACAGAACCCTGTACAATACCCAAGAAACATGGGGCATCATACACAAAATGGGAAGACTCCAAAATCCTAAAACTATTTTCTAGAAATTGATTTAAGTCATTTTTCTATGGGTGAGCTTCATTTATAATGAATGAATGAATGAATCCAGAAGGCTTTTCCTGTATAGTTGCTATGAATGAAACTGTTCTGTTATGAGCGAGCAATAGTGAGGGCTCTGGATTTTTATTTATTAAGACTGTGGTGATTTCACCAGTAGTGCTCTGAACTTCCCATATTTGTACAAAGACACTTATGTGTACAATTTCTTATTTCACATATCAGACACTGTGTTACACGCTAAGGGCATGCATGGTAAATTTGGCCTCACAGAAAACCAGGCAGCAATGAGAATATAACACAGTGGTTCTCAAACTTGGTTGTTTATTAGAGCTACCAAAATATTTTTAAATATTTTAATGCCCATTTTGTATGTAAAACCTACTATGCTAGAATGTCTGTGAATGGAAACCAGCTATCAGTGTTATTTACAAAAAAATCTCCCAAGTGGATACAAATAGCAGCAGTTTAGGAGCCACTGAAATATTGTAATGATTTAAAAGGCTATATATGCCTTAGTCAACCCAGGAGAAATCAAGAGAGACTTCTAGGAGGAGGAGATCAGTCTGTGTTTCAAAGGATGAATTGGTTCTATTGTGGTTTGCAATTTGAATTCTATGAACGTCGTAAGAAAATCCCACACAAACCTAAATTGCAAGACTTATAAATGACAAGAAATCATTATCTTCAGAAAAATTTTCCCACCGGTAGAAGAATATTTGACTATGTCTATTTAAATATACCCTCAAAAAAACTGATAACCTAAAGTCCTCTATGTGGCCTATGACCACATAGAACAATGCAAACCAAAAAAGGGTAAGAAAATGTAATGTTGTGGTCAGATTGCCAAATCTAGCTTTAAGCAAATCACAATAAACTCTAGAATTATAACCAGGATATGACATCAACAGAAGAACAGATTCCTACTTTAATGTAACCTCTGGCTTTTTTTTTTTTTTTTTTTTTTTTTGGTAATGTGGCAAAGTTTATTAGTGGCCCTTTTCCATTTTTGTCTCCCAATGAGAGACAAGGGAGAGATAAAGCCTATGGCTCCCATTTCACTAGTCATTTTGGTATTTAAGGTAGTTACAGAGCGCTTGGCCATTGATCTGTTCACTGTCATCCTGCTTAAATCAATAATCTATTAGTTCCTTTAAATTAGAGTTAGATTCATCAAATGCCCTGGAGAGGCCTTAAACATTTTGTTCCTTACTCCAGGCTAGCACAATCAGTCCATGGAATGATAAAATTTTTGTTCGAAAACTCTGCAGGCTCAGCAGACAACGCATCCTGTATTAGCTCATTCAGCGATCTCAGGCAGTCCAAAAAAAGCAGATTTTAGACTTCCCAGGGGGAAAAGAGGATGTGTCATTCAATAAAACAACTGCACTCAAGCTATCCTGATGTGATTTCAGTTTGGGAAAGCAGTCTTTGAGGACTAATTCGGATCTGCTTTTTGCCTCCTGCTTTTATTTATTTCCTTGCTTACTTATTGATTTATTCTGTTCTGTTTGATGATTACATCCCCAACAAGCAGCAGCTTCCACCGTGGCATCCAAACCGCTAGCCAGATGGGCTGCCTTGCTTGGTCAGGGAATGGCCATGTCAGAGCAACTCCTGCTCCTCGGGTGGCTTCTTGGCTTCTTGGGTCCTTGCCCAGAGCAGAGTCAGCACCCAAGGTGCTGAGAGGGCTTCTCTGGGTTGCCAACATGCAAATGGAGATGGAGAGCAGAACCAAATCTGCATGAACAGAAGCTTCTAGCCTTTACTTTAAACCTCTCCATGCCCCTAGTGTAGAGATGGCGGCCACTGAGGAAAACAAAGCTAGTGTCACCTTCCTCACAGAGAGTTCATTATAGGTATTGTAGTCTTTAAACCAATGCTC